GAGGGCACTGCCTTGGGGATCTCAAGTAGAACTTCACCAGGATTAGGCCAGGGGTTGTAAGGGTGAAGGCCACCCTCAAACTCCCAAGCACAGGGTCCCTCCTGACTCCACCTCTGGTGGGATACTGTCTGGGAGCCACAGGAGCCGGTTTTGTTTGAAGCCCTGCAGGGAAACATGAGCCATGGAGACTGGGAGAGCTGGGGACCCCCATGCAGGATGCCATCCAGTGGGACTCTTGCTGTGTCTGTGTCTGGAGTCTCCCTCCCAGACTCTGTCCCCAGTGTTCCTAGCAGAGGTCTGCTTGCAGCTGTGACCACTGACCCTCCTCCCCTTCCCTGTACCCCCACTCCCAGGTAGAGACCTCACCCTTCCAGCTGCCCTGTGGATAGGCAGAAAAAGGCCTGGGGGAGGGGTCCTGCCCAGGGCAGATGTCATCCATGGAAGAGGGTGGGGAGGGTAGAGAATCCAGGCCCCAGGGACCCAGGCAAAAGCATGAGCATCTCTTGGGCTCACATCTGTTCAGCTAGTTGGTTCTGGCCATTCTCTAGTAGCAGCTCTCTGACCATAGAGGGGTGGTATGGGCAGGAGGGGGCTGAATTGGTGGTGACTGGGCCAGTAAGGACCTTCTGTATCCCTCCCTGGTGATCCCCAGCCCAACCCCCTGGAACCTGCTCCCCTGGGCATCCTGAGAGCCTGGGGGTGAAGAGGGTAGGGGGTTGCACTTCTGACATTCACTGCAGCCCAAGTCACATCTAGGAACCTGTCTGGGCAGCTGCACAGGGAGGTCCTGACCCTGACTGCAGGCAACATGGGATGACTGGAAGGAATGTCCCAAAAAAAGGACCCACAGCAGGCTGGCCCCAGGTTTTACCCCTGGAATCCTCCCGGGGGCCCTGAATCCTGCCTGATAAGAGAACTTTCCCCGTAGGTAGGGAGGAGCAGGAGAGGCAGCAGGATCTAGGCCCTCTCTTGGTCCCAGAGTGGGGCAGGGTCTCCCACCCTCAGAGGCGAGAGGCTGCTTTCAATCATAGGTACCTGGTGATCAGGACATGCTGGGGAGGCTCAGGGTTGGGGATCATCTGACACCAGAGACTCAGAAAAGCCCTTGGGGTCCCTGCTGCCTCTGAAGGCCTAGGGTGGGACAGCATGGCCCATGAGGCCTGGTTGTCCACAATGGGTGCCATAGACTTGGTTGTCCTTGGGGTCTAGAGAAAGCTAATGTCATGGCTGGACAAATTGAGTAAAGCTGGCAATGCCAACAGTGTCCTGTGTCGTCCTTACACAGGACGGAAGGGGGAGGCATCTGTGGTGGACAGGGCGCAGCCACGGGAGACCAGTGGAGGGGTGCAGGATTGGCCGGCAGCTGCCCTGCCCACCATCCTTCAGGATGGGGCCCTAGAGCCACCAGGTGGGCTGGAGCAGGCACTTGTGTGGCCCTACACAGCTGAGCACTGTATGTACCACATGGAGCCTTTAAGAGAGGGCAGAGAGGGACAGCCTGAGAGCTGAGGCCTGGGCATGAACCTAGGAATAGCTGCCACCTCACTCCACATGGCAGCACCCCTAGGGTGGTCTGTGCAGGCCATGTGGGGATGGGCATGGCTGTGTGGTGTGCCTGTGTACTGGGGTGCATCTGCGTCCCTGGGCAGGCCTCAGGCACCTGCCACCCTCTTTGGGAATCTAGGAAAACTAAGGAGAACCTGGAACCCCACTGCCATTTCAAGGCAGCCTTCTTGGGGCCCAAGATCTGCTTCCTGAATCATCTCCCAGGGAGGACAGGTGGAGGGGGTGACCTCTCCTGTCACAGCCCCTCCACCTCCCTACCTGGTGTTTGTAGGGCTAGACAGGGAGCTGGGCAAGAAGCACTGGCCTGGGGCAGGGGGACACATGGACCCAAGCCAGGCCACGTCCCTGATTCAGGGTGGTCTCAGCACTGGCATCTCCCCTTTGCAGAGCCTTGACGACTTTGGACAATCACACTTGGAGACAAGTTCCTGGGGGCAGATGAGACCTCAGTGCCACAAAGAATGCCACAGTGGACACGGCAGCAGACCATATGGCTGGCTGAGCCATTATTATTATAGATCCCTGGGGCTGTGGGCCTCCCCACCTGCCCGACTTCACCTTCCAGGGAACTGGAATCAGTCAGGAACAGGAAGGCACTGGGCTAAGAGGCCAGTACACCAGTGCTGGCCAAGGCTCCCTCCTGGAGACCTGAAGCTCAGTGCCTGGGCTAAGTCCTAACGTCCTAGGGACCCCAGACTTAGCAGGTAAACCCAAGCTGCCCTGGACAGAGGGGCTCCTGAGGAGGTGGGAGAGGGCAGGACAGGTGAGGGTGGCCGGCTACTCCGTGTGGCTGGGCGCAGGGGGTGGCGCCTGGCTAGAGGGCTGTATGGCCTGCACCGTCTCCTCCAGGCTGCCACTGGGGAATACCACATAGCGTGTGATGGTCAGCCCTGGGGGCTCCCGCTGGTTCTCCTTGCTGTGCCAGATGCCATAGCCGAAATACACAGCGAGTCCTGCAGGGTGTGAGGGGATGAGCCTGAGGGGCAGGTCCCAGCCCTCCCTGCCCCCCTCCCAGCCCACTCGGGGCCCAGCTGGCCCCACTCACCCATTAGCAGCCAGATAGTGAAGCGCACCCAGGTCAGGTAGTTGAGCTTCAGCATGAGACAGATGTTGAGGAGGATGCTGAGGGCTGGGAGCAGGGGCACCATGGGGATCTGAGGGGACAGAGTGGGGCTAGCTGGGGTGCAGAAGAGACTCGCCATGCCCAAAGGGGTAGGGGATGGCTGTGCCGGCCTTCCCCAGCCCCGTGAGCCCTGGTTCATTCCCTGGTGACAGAGGAGGAAGGGGCGAGGGGAACATCCACTTCTGGGGGAGGTACCTGAAACGTGTCCTGCCGGGGCTGTTGCTGGAAAGCCCCCAGGATGAGGACGCTAAGCAGAAACACAGCACTGCTGAGCAGGAGCAGTAGGATGTAACCCCAGTGTGGGAGGCCCGAGTCCCCAAAAATCAGCACAGAGTCCAGGGTGGTGGCTGAGGCCATCAGGATGCAGAGTGCACAAGTCACAACCCTCCCAGGGCTGTACCCACTCAGGAAACCCAGGTAGCGCCTCAGGGCAGGTCGCAGCTGTCCAGGCTCGGGGGCTGATGCCTGCTCTGCACCCACCAGCTGCATGTGGTCTGAGACGGAGCTGTGCTCCTTGGACAGGGGGCCAGAGCTGGCCGGGCCTGGGGAGCTGGGTGCAGAAGCCTTCTGGAAGCGTAGCACAATGATGCTGGCGGCCACAAAGGTGTAGGCGAGTAGTGTGCCAATAGATAGGAACTGGACCAGCGCTTCGAGATCCATCAGCAGTGACAGGAGGGCCATGAGGATCCCGAACACCAGGATGCCCATTACAGGCACCTGCGTCCGGGGGTGCACGTAGGCAAACACCTGGAAGAAGAGCCCGTCGACTGCCATGGCGTAGACGATGCGTGGCAGGGAGAAGAGGCTGCTGAGCAGGACAGTGTTCATGGCTGTAGAAGAGGGTAGGGCAACGGTCAGCCTGGTGGACCGGCCTCTGCTGGGGCCAGAACATGGGTGGCTCTTTGTGAGTTTGTGGGCTCTCTGAGTGGGCATCAGTGTGGTGGGTACTGTATTGTCAGACCCTTGCCCCAGGAATAGGACACTCCGGTTTAGACCACAGGCCCTTTGGAGAATCTTTTTTTTTTTTTTCTGTAGAGACAGAGTCTCACTTTATCACCCTCAGGAGAGTGTCACAGTGTCAGACAACTCACAGCAACCTCCAACTCCTGGGCTTAGGCGATTCTCTTGCCTCAGCCTCCTGAGTAGCTAGCTGGGACTACAGGCGCTCACCACAACGGCCAACTATTTTTTATTTAGAGACAGAGTCTCACTTTGTCACCCTGAGTAGAGTGCCATGGGGTCACAGCTCATAGCAACCTCCAGCTCTTGGGCTTAAGCGGATCTCTTGCCTCAGCCTCCCGAATAGAAATCTGCTATTTTTTTGTTGCAGTTTGGCTGGGGCCGGGTTTGAACCCACCACCATAGGTATATGGGTCCAGTGCCCTACCCAGTGAGCCACAGGTGCCGCCCCACTTTGGGGAATCTGATGAGAGCTGAGTCCCTCTCCTCGGGAAACCCATGACCAAAACTAGCATTCTATGAACAGTTTTTGGGGAAGTCCCTCCCAATAAGCCTGGGTGGAGAGTTTCTAATAATTAGCACTTTCCTGGGCCCATTATACAACTAGAAAAATCAAGGCACAGATGATAATGTGTTCCCTGAACGGTTTTGTTCCTTGCCACCCTTCCCCGAAAAGGGCCCTTACCGCAAATGGAGCCTGCGGCCACAATGTAGCCAGCCCAGCTGTAGCCCCGCCGGTGGAAGGCATCGGCCAGTGCGGAGTCAGGCTCCAGGCTATGCCAGGGCACGATGAGGGTCAGCACGGTGGAGACAAGAATGTAGGCGCCTGCTGCCAAGCTAAGTGCAATGGCAATGGCCACGGGCACAGCCCGCCTCGGGTTCTGGGCCTCCTCACTGGAGGCAGTGATAACGTCAAAGCCCACAAAGGCAAAGAAACACGAGGCAGTGCCAGCCATGACACCAGAGAAGCCAAAGGGTGCAAAGCCCCCCTCCTCTGCACTCCAGTTGTGGGGCTCAGCCAGGATGAAGCCCAGGATGACGATAAAGAGGATGGTGAGCAGGTTGATGGTCGAGAAGGTGTGGTTGAACCAGGAGGAGACCCGAGCTCCACAGGAGACAAAGGCAGCAGCCAGAAGGAGGATTCCGGCAGCCAGGAAGTCTGGGTAGTTACCCATCAAGGGCACCTGCCAGGATCCCACGTGGGTCACGGTGAAGTTTCGGATTCTGTGGCCAAAGATGGAATCTAGGTAGCCACTCCAGGCTCGGGCCACAGCAGCGCCACCAATAATATATTCGAGGAGAATGTTCCAGCCGATGAGGAAGGCCCACAGCTCACCCATTGACACATAGGTGAACAGGTAGGCAGAGCCTGTGCGGGGCACACGTGCCCCAAATTCTGCATAGCAAAGGGCTGCCAGGAGGGAGGCCACAGCGGCCACACAATAGGACAAGATCACAGCAGGGCCAGCAACATCCTTGGCCACCGCACCTGTAAGCACGTAGAGGCCTGATCCCACCATGCCACCAACACCCAGCAGGGTCAGGTCCAGCGTGGACAGGCAGCGCCGCAGCGACGTCTCCATGCTGGACTCCTCCAGCGGCTTCAGCCTGTTCAGTTTCTGGAAGAAGCGTGCCAGGCTGGCAGCACCGGGCAGCCCACGGACCATGGCAGGCAGCTGAGAAGAGCACCAAGCCAGCTACACGTACCTGCTGGGGCCAGAGAGGAATGAGCAGCCCAGTCCCGGGCAGCCCTCAATCTCTCCTGGACTGTCCAATCTCTCTCTGTCCCCACCGTGGGGACCTGGGCACCCAAATCGTGGGTCCGCTGCAGGGATGGGATGGGATCAGGAATGTCTGGAAGTCCCGTCTGCCTCCCAGGGAGCAAAGAGGTCGGAGAGGAGCGCCATTGGGTTGCCTGAGTGGCCCTGAGAGTGGGGAGGGGGCAGCCCTAGGGAGCAGCTGGGTATGGCTCAGTGGTCTGGGATCCAAGAACAATGTGAAACCCGAAGCTTCCTGGAGTTGTGCCAGGCTGGCAGGACCCGGAACAGGTCTGGGACGGGGCAGGCGTGGCCCGTGCGGCCACCTGGTATCAGTCAGCGGTGGTCTCCCACTCCTATCCCCGACACCCCACCGCCATACTGGCAGATCAGCGCCTGGGGGGGGGTGGCGGCTGTTATGAAGGGGCACCCTGGACCCTGAAGCCGAGACCCCACGCACCTCGCCGCGTCCCACACTCCGCCACTGCAGGAGCCAGTTCCGTCCCTCCCCTGGCCCCAGACACTGGTCCCAGCTCGTCTTGGTGGGACCCACTGCGACCCACCTGCTGTCGCCGCCGCAGTCGCAGATCTGAGCGCTGTGCCAGCCCAACCCGCCAGCGCCGCCTGCGCGCACGGCCCGCCCCTACCCTCAGGCGCCCCATCTGGCTCGCAGCACCGCCCACCCTCACACACCCAGAGAGCCCCCGCCCTCCCCGCCCTAGGATGTTACAACCTGAGCTCACGGAGCTCTAGGGAAGTCCTATCACGGTGACCCATTCACAGATGATGAAGCTCAAGAAACCAGTTAGTGACTAGGTCGGGTAACCGGGGTGTAGTTGAGGTGTATGGAGATCTAGGGGTACAGAGCCAACCCTCTTTCTATTGCAGCAGATCCCTCCACGTGTGGGGCACCATCCAGGCCCCCCAACACAGGGTGACATGAGGGCTGTGGCTTCAGGCACAGTGAGATGAGTGGCCCTGGGCAATCCCTGAGTCTTCTCCCAACTGGGTGGCGGTAAGCCATCTACACGTTGGCGGGACTGAGCAGCCTTTGACAGTGTTTTTTGAACTGAGGGAACTCACACTGGCTGCTCTGAGCCTTCAGCTCCCTTGTTCTGCAAGTAAGCGAGCAGCCTTCTGGGGACAACCTGCACCCTCCAGGGAGGTGCTCTAGAGCAGTGATTTTCAACCTGGTGTCTGTGTGAAAATTATTAAAGATCATTAATTAAATTATTTTCAAAAGACGTTCCAAAGCATGGTAAGTATATTCTTTTTTGGTCAACATAATTTAAGTGTGCATGGAAGTTTTAGCTATAGGTTCAAGTGTTTCACAATATAAAATTGGATGAAAAACACTGCCCTAGACCCTCTAAGACTCCCATGGCAGCATCCCCTGTAGGCCCAGAGACTCCTAGGGGACCCCAATAGCAACTCCCCGTTTGTGGTTATCCATGACAGCCACCATGTGCTGTGTCCCCCATGCCAGTCCTCATACCACAAGCAGTGTCCACATCCTGCCATGTGATCATCAGGTGACCCCCTTAACACACACACACCCATGGGGACTCTTATTCCTGGGGCTGAAGGGTCTTTCTGCTCTTCCCATTTCTTTAAAACCGAGAACATCCTGTGATAGGGTGTTAACTGGGTCACAGTAAAAGAATAACAATGTAGCCAGGCCCAAGCAGACATCTGCTTCCTCCAGAACTTTACACGGCTGTGTTGTCAGTTCATGTGTGGTTCATGGAGCTGGATCTCAGGGCACCTGCAGCCAGCCTGGCTTGGTGGGCTGATGACAGGATGGTGGACTCCTGGACAAGATG